AGGTGTTTATTATGATTTTTTTCTTTTAAGTAAATGTACAAATAGCTTTTAAATATCAACATTTCATATATGGTCGAGACATAGAAACCAATATTTATTTTAACATGAAGATTTATAATTGTTACATTAAACCAAAGTCACACTTGAGGTTTCCCTCCTTTATCATATGTTTCCTGTTTTAAAAATCATCTTTATAATTAAACCATGACTTGTATTAAGAATTGACATAATTAATCAGGCAAAATTGACATAATTCATCATGCACTGTCATGACATAAATTGAGCACAGGAGATAAAATATACAAATATATGTGCATGCGAAATTGCACTATGCACCGTTTATTGCATATACATATGGTATACATGTACAATCTCTGCAAAATGTGCATAATTTGGCAAACCCTCAAAAAAGAACAGCCTTATGACCCCGTGTGAGCTTTATCTCTAGAATTACGAGGCGACTAGACGCAAAGAGATCATGGCAGAGATCGGTAATATACCACTAAAAGTTGGCAAGGCATACCTATCTCATAATGTTAGAAAAGAAAAAAAAGCTCACCGTTGTTAAACCGAGTGAAATGAATAAGACGTATCAAATGTATTGTAAGGAAATACCACGTGACACGTACACGTGCTACACATGTTCTTTTCATATATTTATACATATACAAGACCGCTATTCTTTGATTGTTTTGCAGAAACAATAGAGGACATGCCTATCGTATGGAAAAATCTTAATTCAGCGAGTCGAGCGTTAACTGATGCAAACATTCGTTATTTATACCAATGGATATCAGTGTTTGGTCAATAACTTGAACTTTATAACGTACTAATTGAACTTTTTACGGGGTCAATGTCAGATTTTGAATTTTGAAAAATACTATAATCAACTTATCTAAGTCATTGAAATAATCAAACTGGAAATGCAAGTCTAAAGTCTAAAGATAATTCTGAAATTCAATCAATTCAAGTCGAATAGGTTTCAATCTCTAGGTTAGAGGATCGTTTAGATTCGGTCATTTCCGTAAATTACCGAGTTTAGCATCATTCGATTGCATTTAGACGACAAGATGTTTTGTTGATCTTGATCATACAGACGCTTATATGATATTATATGCATTAAAATACCGGACATGTACGAGGTTATGAAGGATAAAATAGTCCAGTAAAAATGATCTATTAGAATAAATACAACTTTAACACCAATTATGATTCTTTTATTTAATCAATGGGCAAACACTATCCCCATTTATTTTTTAATTGTATTTTTTCCAAATCTTACAAATAATGAGATAATGTTATTTTTTTAACAGATTTACTAAAACAGTAACCAACTTTCTTAAGTAAAACAAAACATATAGAAATATTACGCATCGCGTTTCACATCCGAAGTCATGACAATGTACTTAAATTAAACAAAAAGGGATATTTTGTTTAAAAAAATGACACACATGACTTTTAAGAAAGAATAGAATGCACTATCCAGTATCTTTCAAGTCGAGCTTTATTCTCAGAAACATATGTATAGACATTGAAAAATTCTAGCTTGTTTTTCATTTTTATAAAATTCGATACAAATTTATACATCCACCATCTCAGATAACATTTAAATTTATTACCATAACAACCGTCACCGTAGTTTACGATTTAGATAATCTTTCGCATAATAAATGATGAATTTTTGCCCTTTTTGTGTCAGGGGCATTAGCACTTTCTTTTAAAGTTAAGAACGGACCCTCCTTGCGCCGCCCATTGTTCCGTCTCGTTTTTTTTGCCCATTTCCCACCCTGTCCCACCAATTGCGCCTTCTCGTATTTTTCTTGTTTTTGTTTTGTTTGTTTTTGCCTCATTTCTGTGCAAGACCCTACTGGACGGTCTCCTCTCCGATAGCAACATTTTGTTTAAGACTTCGTTGACCGGACGCAGCTCTCCCTGGTTGATCTTTGTACTCCTGAAACTCCCATTTATTTTCAGGCAGTGCTATTGAATCCGACTTACTTTACAGAAATTAAAAAAATTTGTGGGAGTCAATCGAGCATGTAGAAAAATAAAATGTGCTTATCGAAGCAAAACTGAAGGCAAAAACTTGACAACTCATATATATGTATAGTACGACAGTATAAACATTTTCGCAGAAAAGCCAGGTGTCCAGGTTTACTTAGGGTTAGGTAGGGGAAACGGCAATGTCAGAAGAGATATTTGATGTAAAAAAAAAGTGTGCCAAATGCCCTGACGCTGTGAAACTGTCGTCTGCATACAATCGAAATGTTACAATTGCAGCAATTGGCAGATGTTTATTAGACCGAAGTTAGTGTAGTATACGCAGTGTGTATATATATACATATGCAGTCATTATAAAATAGGTCACATACTTTCAAGGACACGAACGTGTGTCAAATTTATAGAAAATATCAATTTATGATATATTTCTTTTTATATTTGTTTCGAAAAATAAAAAGCACAGAGGCTGTAACATTATTAAGTAGAATACACACGTGCACAATTTTATCATTTCCATTCCATTTTACAAGAAAATCTAAAAGTAAGGGGTATCAATTGATTTTGGGTATCAGTGTACTAGCATGTTTAGAATTTATTTATTATCAAATAAACAGATAATTATCTCGCTTCAGTTACACAGTTCAAATCAATGATAATGAATTTGCCTCAACATACATACACATTTCAATTTATATAGTATTGCGATTTTGTTGAGTCGCCGTAAAACTCAATTCAAAATTTTAAATATTATAATACATTTCACTCATGTACGAACAATTGCTTTACATCATTTCACCCATTCAGCACCGTTTTCACATACTCACCGGTTCACTTGCCATCCTTTTTCACCAAGCCTTCATCTTATTTTGTGTCGTTTATTTCTTTTTATTTATTCAGACTTTTTTTATCTCTATTTTTCATTAATCTACCTTTTCTACGATCTTAGAGTGGTAGGCATGTTATGATTACGTTGTGAGAATATACTACAGGGTTTACAAGAGGTTTCTCAACAGTGTGCATTAGCTGCAACCGTCATTAACCCACATCACCTGACATAAAACCTGTGCATGTGTGCCAAGCTTTGCAAACTCTAGATCAAGAGGGCTATGCTATATGTGGCTTTTTGGCAGTGTATGCATACAAGCTGATAAAACGTAGATAAACATGCAACGGGGTTAAAGCCGGTAGATTGGGCGTATATCGTTGGCTGCAATAAACACCTACTTCAAGAGAGGAAAGTTTGCGGTATACATTTCTAATGCATTTGCACGTTTCAATGATAAGTTTATTCAACTTTGTTAAGGCATTACATAACATGAGAGATAAAGGTGGGGGTTAAAACTTAGAGAATTGAGATAACGCGATTTCCTGATTGATATGGTTGTACCATGTACACAACATCGTCTGCAGTGGAGTCATTTAAAACATGCATACCCAAACATAGGTTGTTTATTGACAACGTAAACCTTTGAGTTGAAAGTTTATAAAGCGGTTAAAAAGGTATATCCGTAAATTCTATAAAAGAATGTGAACCGGGTGATTTTTTTTCGTGGTACATGTTATTTGAGAAATTTGCAAGACTGTATTTCGACTCTTTGATTACGTTTGATTATTTTTCTGTTTTGCCGCAGTTAAATAATCATAAATGAAACAAGGGAAGTGTGTTTTCATTAAAAATACATATTTTAACCTTAAGAAGGTAATAAAAGATTAATTAATTAATTTATTAATTAGCACAATTATTGAATTTAGTGCAGTAGGTCTTTTTACCCGTCGAACGGGTAGAATAATTGAATTTTGTACAGAAAGTTTGGAAAAACGGTACATACTGTTGAAAAAAGTGATAAAATACTACCAAAATGTGTTCAAACATTAAATCTTAAAGGGCAAGAAGTACCTATTTTGGAATGTTATATCATAAAAACCAGTACCAGTATCAATTTGATCACAATGCATGTTTATTATTTGACCAGGTCTTGCGGAACCGAACTGGTTTTGAGACGAGTCTACAGGCATTTAGCTGTTTGATAACTTTTCCATTTTAATGCATGCTCTTTTACTGAATAAGGCATTCCATAACATCCAATGTGGCATTCCATAAAAACACACACTATGGCATTTCAAGACAACACTAAAAATCATTCAATACGGCATCTTATGAAATCATTCAATACGGCATTCAATGAAATTATTTAATATGGCATTCCATGAAAACACTTAATGTGGCATTTCGGGAAATCATTCAATACGGCCTTTTATGAAAACATTCAATGTGGTATTTCATGAAATCATTCAATGTGTCATTTCTGGAAATCATTCAAAACGGCATTTCATGAAATCATTCAATGTAGCATTTTATGAAATCATTCAATACGGCCTTTTATGAAAACACTCAATATGGCATTTCATGAAATCATTCAATGTGTCATTTCTGGAAATCATTCAAAACGGCATTTCATGAAATCATTCAATGTAGCATTTTATGAAATCATTCAATACGGCCTTTTATGAAAACATTCAATGTGGTATTTCATGAAATCATTCAATGTAGCATTTTAGGAAATCATTCAATACGGCCTTTTATGAAAACACTCAATATGGCATTTCATGAAATCACTTAATGTGGCATTTGTGGAAATCATTCAATACGGCATTTCAATAAAACACCCAATGTAGCATTTTAGGAAATCATTCAATACGGCCTTTTATGAAAACACTCAATGTGGCATTTCATGAAATCACTTAATGTGGCATTTGTGGAAATCATTCAATATGGCATTTCATATAAACACTGAATAAGAAAATCCATGAAAATACGAAATGTAGCATAAATTTATGAACACATTCAACATGGAATTTTCATGAACACTCTTTATGTCAAGACATAATGATGATGAAATTTCATGGAAATTACTAAAAATAGCATTTCATGAAAATCTCGAAAAGGCATTATACAACGGAAGCACTCGATATATGGCATTTAATGACAACTCACAAAATCTGTTTTACAAATAAAGTTGATTTTATTTCTTCTGTAAGCGGAAAGAAATGTGTCTTGGACACTTTTAATAAATTTAAGCACAACACTATATAACATTACACATAATACTTTGTCTAACTTCTTAACAAAATCATAATAAACACGCAAAGTTTTACGAGTCAAAACACATATTATACATTTAAAAAAAACATGTGACATTAGAAGAGTGTTTGTGATACAGATAGGCAAATGAGAGAAAAAAAAATAGGCATGGGCAAAGAAAACTATAATGTGATCTCAGGATGATTTGAATTTAATAAATGTTTTGAAAAAAAAAAAAAAAAATTTAGCTCTAACACTTATGTAAAACATTTTATCCCCAATTTTCAAAACTTTTAGCTGAATAAAATCGTAACTGTGGGGAGTTTCATATTTAACCCACAACAATAAAGTCAAATATTATCAAATATGCCAATTCATGTTGCAAAAAATAATACATTTTGGAAAAAATAATATTAATAGTATTGACAAAGAATACATGTTAACGTATTAATTTGGTACTGATTTTTTTTAATCATATGATGATACAATTTAATGAACAGAACACCTGAACCAATAAAATGGATTGTTTGTTGTATAAAAATAATTAAAATTGGTATAATTTGACGATTGTGTGGTCATTTTAAATTCTATCGTTCGAAGAAAACATCTTAAGCATTTTCTTTCGATTTACATCGCACCAACACAGTATATGTCATATGGCGACTTTCCAGCTTTACTGGTGGAGGAAGAACTCATGTGCCCCCTTCCGTGCATTATTTCAGGCACGAACGGGCAGCTGAGTAGAACCACAGACATTCCATAAGCTAGCTGGATAGCTTCCTTACATGAAAGAATCCAAAGTCCTTGCCGGGATTTAACCCACAAGGAAACATACTAAGGTACACGAAGTATCATTTTTCAAATTATAATAATTTGACTGTAATACAGGAAAAGAACGCACTTTTATGTAGCACTTTACATGGTCATCTTTTGCTGACACACAAATATTAAAATCTGGCACGAAAGTATTAAATACATTTATAGTTTTACGGCATGCAATACCGTTGCCATGGAAACATAACACATTTATAAGAGAAACAAAAATGAAAACAAAAATCTAACACTATTTGAGATTATTTTTCTGTATTATGCAAATTTAAAGAATTATTTTTGGCATGCGGTAGATTTAAAAATGGCATATATACCCTAAATATTGATTTTACATTAAAATCTGTCAACTACTTTTGATAACATGTATTTTTTTTCTTTTGAACATTTTTAAACAGCGATAATGACATGAAAGGTGGCATTTTAGAAATGCGAATTCTTGGTAAATTAAATATCATATTAATTATGCAGACACATATTAACCAAAAGTGTTGTCCCTTTATAGAATAGCATAAAAAATTTAAAAATGGACGAAAAAGAAAAAAGAATTGGATTTTTTGCTCTTTTCCGTTTTTTCCCTTTGAAAAGAAAACCCACTAAAACATGGTTTTGAACCATGATATGAAAAACTACAATATATACAAAAAATGACATGAAATAAATGAAAGACTAAAAATGAACAACATTGTTCCGTTTAAAAAGTACTGCAGTATAGACATGAAGTAGGAAGAATCAACACAAAGGAAGCAATAAAAACTATCTAAGAGCTAACTATAACATCTTAATTTTGGCATGAATGTAAAAAAAAATTTCAAATAAAACAAAAATCCTACAGAAAGAGATTTGCATATTTACTGAAACCTTAATAATTCATTCCAATGCATTTGTTAAACAAATGAATTACCAGTAAGCATTTTTGCTTCAATTTGTTTCATTTATCTTTAAATGAATTTAAAGCTAACGGCATGTTTTTTTTTCTCTTCAGAAGCACACATTTTAGCGGAGGGATCAAAGTTCAAAAGATAACATCTAAACAACCGATTTTGAGATAAAATGATAAAAATATATAGATATCATTATTGGATTAATTTTGAATCATTGATTATCTTTTAATGACATTATTCAAAGTAATTTTTCTTCAGGAAAAATGATTATTAATTATTTTAATGGTCTCAACAAAAAGTGTATATATTATTTAAATCTACTTAAAATATGATTTTGTTTTCATATTTTCATGTTTATTAGATCATTAAGTTCCAGGAAAACATATTATTTCGTGGCATGGACTAGGCTGCTTATGTTGACATGACGTAACTCGTTACGTCATAATGAATCGGTTGTTTAGCCGTAACCTCATGAATTTGACTGGAATGTAATTAAACCTGCCCAACAATTTATAAATATCAAAATAAACTGTGAATTTGTTTGAGTATTTATCTTTAAAAATCATGATTTTATGAGCAAATCGTCGAAAAAAACATGATCTTAGAACTGTCATTATGGCCGGACGAAAGGATTGCATGAATACATTGGCATCAGATTTTACAAACCTGTTTTTCTTCCTTTTTCAAATAGGCCTACAAAGCTGTCTGACTTTATTTGCTCTTCACTAAAACATTCCAAATGACCTGAATGATGATCATTAGTAAGATCTTATTTCAATTATTTAAAATTCGCAAATGTAACTGTAATGCTATATGCTAAGAAATGCTTACACGTTTTTACACAATAAACATACTCTTATTATCAATTGTGCCAAGTCGTTTTGTTTTAATATATTTTCTTTTATTGCAAAATTATCTTATCACGAAATCATTTAACATTTTATCTATTTAGAAAAAAACAACAAGAAACAACAACTTTATTAAATTTCAAAACGATTTACAGAACAATGGACAAAAATTTCCCTCTAAAAATACACCTGTTTAAATTACCAACATGAATTGAATTTCTTATTATACAAATACAATCAAGAACTATTTGCAAGAACCAATATTAGAAATAATATAATTATACAAAATATTCCTTAAATAACGTAGAAAAGACCATTTTTTAATTAAATTATTTCTTAGTAAAGAATTAAAATATTTTAGATAAATACATGTATTTTTTATAACAATCCCCAAAAACTACCAACACATTTTCATATATTTCGTTAATATGTAAATTAACCCAAATGCTAAAAAAAATTTTTTTTCATATCCCAAACTATGTTTATCAATTTTCTAACATTATGGCCCCTTCAAATCTGGCACTATTTGTGTTTTGCACGTGTGATTTGCAGCTAGAATTTCTGTTAATAGTATGCAATGTTTAACAGCAATTTTTGTTTTGAACTAGATTTTTATGAGATACATTTAATTTTACATGCAATAAAAAGCATGTTGTTTGTGTCACATTTAAGACTATTAATGTAAATTTCACCATTTAATGGTGAACATGTCAAGTGTGAATGGGTATATACAGAAATAATGAAACAACTTTGAATGGAAATTTTAGTTTTTCCTTCTACGTTATAAGGAGTACGCAATTGTGAACCGAAACCTGCAAAATGTCTTTTAAAGTATTGAAACCTTAATAGTGATAATATCCAATAAAAAATCACAATAATCATAATATTAATATTTTTTTGTTTTGATATATTAATTTTGAATTCACATTTTTACATTGGGTGTCTTTGTTTATTTTTGCTCTTTCGGAATATTTTCATTATTATTTGGTATCATTCAAAAATATATAAATGACGTCATTTATGACTTCATATTGCAGTTACATTGTCTTGCTTGCTTTGAGCTAATAAAATTCCACATTCAACTACCTAAATAATGGATGATTAACATTGGTTTATAACCTTTTAATATTATATTCAAATTCGATCAATGGTTATGTATATAGAACAACATGACTATTATAATTACGTAATGTCGGTAATATTATTACCCCTTAGGCATAGATTAATGATCGAAAGAAAATAAAACAAAACATTTCAAAAATGTAGACAAAAAAACACAGGAAACAATGGTAAGGAAACTTTTTTTTGGCGTATTATACCGTAGAATTTATGTTACAATGTTACAAAGATGTAAAACGAGTGGTTTATTGTTGCTCTTGATAACAAAAATAATTTTTAATACATGTGTGCAAAATGATAAGCATCTTTTTCCTCGACCCACCATTGGTGGAAGGAGGTCACAAAGCATAATGATATAAATGACGTGAAAACGAGTGACTGAGCCATTTTCCAGGTACTTTTTAGTAAAATATACATTTATTTCTTGATATATTTACATTTTAGCAAAATGTGGAAACATTTGTTTTTTCATCTTCTAAATGTCCTAAGAACAGGTACTAAACAACAAAAATAACAACAATTCATTTTCATAAAAGTTTTCATCTGTCGACAAGAATCATTGAAATTTAATCAGATACAGTGTCTTATTACATTATTTTTGAATAACGAAAAGTCTTCCGATGCAATGTGCACTTCTACGAGACAGTTTACAATGTTCCTCTCCAAATTAAACACCATCTCTCTGTTATTATTTTCTCAATAAAACCCCGCAGTTTTCTCAAAAAACCTACTCTGTATTTCTATCCCTAACACTGACACCAAGAATGCACCACGACTTATCAATATGATCCAATAAAATTTCAATTATTCGAGTGACAGAGAGAAAGGAAAACCGGAAAGACTAGCGTTTGCAGAAAGCTGTTATTGTATAGCCATATAGGGCCAGTTAAAAGAACCCCCACTCAATAACATATCTCTTATAAGCGTTTCAATTGGTGTCTTTCCGACCAATCGCACAAAGAACAATTGTTCTATAACGGATGCACTTACAGTTCTCAGGGAAGGGAGCCTGAGTAACAACTTTCCGAACCTAGTCGGCTGGTTTGGGTACTGACTCCGGCAGTATTCCTCCAGAGCACACTGCGATTTCTCTTGTATACTGTCGATGTGATTAGTATCTGTGATGCCGCATGCATCTGAAAACAACAACAAAAACAACATCATTACAAGTTGTCATACAAAAAACAACATAATTTTAAGATGTCTTGAAAATTAGTTCAAGTTATTAAATGTCTAATTCTAGCAAAACTCTTTTTGTTTTCCTCCTATAAGAGTTCCGCCTGTAACAAAACTTGGTTAATTTTGCAAAAGACATTAAAGGTTTAAATCTCGAATTCAATAAGTTTTTGTTTTGTAATTAGCGATCATTCAGTCGTTTAAATTCAACTATAAATGCAACTTAATATTGGAAAATTTAAAGTAAATATATATGGACCGATTCTGTACATGCGCAGGTATGAGACAGGCTTTCAGGCTTTCGGCGAAATGAATTCTTATTTTTTTATATATTTATCAACATGTATATATTCACTAAAACAATTGAAAATATTTTCTTTTTTAAAGAAATGCAGTTAAATATAAATATGATTATACAGCGATAGATGTACTTCAGTAATAGACTTTGAATTGTTAAGTTCAATTATGTTTTGATACTTTGTACTATTAAAATCAAGGTCCTTTTAGTTTATAGCTATTTCGAAATACATGTATATTTTGATCAATGTTCATTTCTAATTGCACTTGGTGATACTTTATGACATACTTTTCCCGACTTTAAAATTACGTGTCACTTTTTATAACAAACAATTACGCTATTAACAAGTTTAAGTGATCAAAATATTATTTTCCTCATAACTTTGTCTAGCTTATATTTATATCAAACTTCATTTTCATACTATTTTTGCTACAATTTCTTACAATTGTCATCTCATAGATTTTGGGGGACTGTTTTCAATATTGTTAAGAGAATATATTTTGTGTATTTCTCGCATCACTCTTTGGACACATTTTTGAATATTTATCAGTCCTATATCCTATTCTATCGTTACGTTAGCTTGAATAACAAAACATTTCACACAGCTATTTATATTTCATATGAAAAAAGCAAACATTTCTAAGAAAAAAAAATAATACCGTGAAATAGATTTCTCGTTAGAAGCAACTATACAATTTGAATTTTTACAATGTAATCTTATACATATAATTAAAAATCTTATTATAAGGGTGTGTCAATTTTCAACAACAAGGAAAATAAATCCGGTATGAAACAGGCAAGTTATAAAATCTAAAATAAAAAAGAAAAAAAAGAGAGAAGAAAATGATTAGAAATAATATATATTCATTTATCTAACAATTGTTGTCCGTAATGCCAAACGACTGGTTTTACTTTGTGTCTTCATAATGGCGCGAAAAAAGGAGAGAGCCCACTTGCTGCCGTGGGAATATAATAATATATTTGACAATAAATGCCTATTTATTGGAGGACATTTATGCCTTGCCGCTATAGTTTATGTTAAATAAGAAATCTTTCTATCCTCAGGGAGATTATAGGTATATAGGTCTTTAAAATGACAATATAAAACAATAAAATATCATCGGGACAAAGTCTTTTGCTATTTAGCAGAAACAAAAAGGTAATAATTTCGATTGGAAAACAAGCATTCAAGAGGAAAATTAAGTCATATATGAGACCAAATTTGACTATTGTCAGCATTAATTTTATTGCACAGTTTTAAAAACTGACACTGGCTAAGCAAGCCAGTTGGTATTTTCCCTTTGCTAATAACAATTTATAATACTAAGTAAAACAAAGCCAAATTTTCCAAAGAAACAATGAGTCTCGTGCGTAAGCAGACTCGAGTATTAGTTATCTTGTCAGACGTGGGATTTGGTTAATATACAAACTGTATCCACGCCACATGACACAATAAGGTATAAGCCACATTTGTACACGACAAATTTCTCCATTCATTTTAAAGTGACACTGGCATTTTATGTCAACCTAGCTATGATTTACTTTATCCTCGTTAATTACGGAGTGGATGGTAAGTATTTTTGAGGCGATGCATGTACACAATCTAGACAATCTTGCGAACTGAGTGCGAACATTGATAAAACTGTTGTATTACATGAAAATATGTAAATTTTGTACATCAATGTTAATATGGCTACAGCTTTTGGTCGTGATTGCTGTTATTTTGTTCTTGTTGTTATTGTTGTTTTTTTTTATGAAAGTGGTAAAGAAATCGTTTATGTTTTAAAATTGTAAAATATGCTTACGTCAGTAAATTACAAAAATACCAATGTCATTATTATAAAAAAAAATAACAATGTTTAAAATGAAGGACAATACAACAGTATTGTAAATATTGTATAAATATATGAATATTGTGAATATAATCAAATAAAGATAACTGACATAGATTATTGTAAAATTTAGATTTTGTTTGTCTTTTAGTATTGTAAAAAGGAACTTGCGAACTGAGTGCGAACATTGATACAACTGTTGTATTATAAAGAATTGAATGATATATTTTATTAGATGTCCCTTGGAAAAACGTCCATTCGTACGCTTTCACAAGTCATTGGCTTTAGTAGTACAAAATATCAAAAAGAAACAAATTTAGAAAACAGTTTGTTATGAGTAAAAAAAGTGTTCTTCACATACTTTAGTACTTTAGATCATTTCCAGTTTAAATTGGATTATCATAAAGCATGCTTTCTTTTGGATATGAACCAGTCACTTGTTAAGTTATAGTGCTTTCAATTTCAAACATAAACATTTTATTTAAAATAAACATGTTCTTCGGTCAAGTTCTGATATGTCAGTTTTTAAATTTAATTAATTATTTTATATATAATTCTTATTCATTAATTTTAGACATATTATAAAGTAAATAGCAGCACATATATATTCAGGTGTGTTTGACTCTATAAAGTTATGACACTGCCGTCAAAGAATAACTTCAATATTTCAAATTCTTTTTATTTAAAACATATCATTGTTTTAAATGCATTAGATTATACTAGGCAACAAAGCGGACGCCTTTGCTAATTACAACCATAGAATTATAATTTATAAGAAAGACTTTAACAAATTGTCAAATTATAGAACACTTACGGTTAAACAGACCATTCTTTAATACATCTAAAAATAACAATAAATTGTTTATATTGTCAATTTATAGAAGACTCATTACTAAAACAGAGTTTTCATTCTTACAACTTCTAAAAATAACAACAACAAATTGTTAAACAGTATATCATATCTTAATTATGAAAATACACAGTACGTTTTTATATTCCGACAATAAAAGTTCCCGGATGTACCCGCCCATCATGTGTACATTACATTTTGCTTTATGAAATATTCAAAATTTTATTTATAGATATCACAACTGTTAGGTGACAGCATTTTAAATAACGAATATTGAAACGTTTAATTATAAAAGTATCAGATTAATTGATAATTTCAGTGGTGTAAATATAGTGTCATTTTACGTATTTCTAAATGAAATTATACTACAGATTGTTAGATTGGTATACATGATTTTTAAACCTTGCATTCTTTCATTGAAAAAACATCAGTTGACACGATATGTTGTTGTTAAATAAAAAGTAAATAAAATTTAACATAAATATACACACATTGGGAGCAATGAAAACATGCAATTATTGAAAAATTACGGTCTAGGTGTGATTGTGGCTATTCATAAGCTGTAACCTTATATAATTCTTTTCCATTTTGCTCTTTTGGTCAGCATTTTGTACACTTATTTTATTATTATGCTATTAACAAAATGCGGCAAAATGGTAAGACAACGAGTCCTTAAAACATTAGCAGTTTATTCTTCCCTGTTCATCTGTATTTTATGGTAAATCAAATATATCATTTGCCCCATCCCTAGCACCGCTTTTAGCATAATTGTATGTATTAAATATCCCATTGCTCAGTATTGTATTGATTTGTTTTTTCTTTATGTGTAATTGTAAAATATGTGACCTATAATTATATTTAAAAATGCTTGTTATAACGATGTACCTATGTGTGTACAAGTTATGAAATAAACTCTGTTCTGTTCTGTTCTGATCTTCCCACATAAAGGAATGGAATTAAGAAGGTTGAAATAATGCACGACAGGTCGACATTCTTTATATTATTCTACCTTTAAAATATTATAGTTATTATATATGTTATAAAGATAATTGCTACTCTTCACATTTCTGGCGTATCAAATCGGCGGTATGTATCACTTTTCGTCAACGGTTTGGAAAATGTGTCTTATTTTTCTGTAAGATATTTACGTTCAATGCTCTAGCATAAATGAAAATTACATAGATTACTCATTAATGTGTTTGAATGGCTGAAGAAAAATTGAATATCTGCAAATGCTGAAATATTAAGGATTTGCTTCTTTTACAATGCTATTATTTACAAGAATTGAAGATTGACTTTTTATCACTTTTTCTTCAACCGGCTTTGTTCTCCGAACTTTATCTTTAAAACTATGTTTGAAATCTTACCGTCGCAAACTCTACCAACTTTGTATACAAGATCAAACGTTATGTCTTCATAATAATTCAAAACGAAAATTGATTAACAACCAATATTTATGTTTGAAACATTGCGAAGTCATATGGAACGCAATAACAAGCAAAGGAAAACAACTCAAAGAAAAGGCGCTAGGAATATAGAGTGTATCGCGAATTTAATTTCGACGCGAAAATTGCCTTGTCTACATCATTTTTGAAAAAAAAATAAGGAGACCACTCTAAAGTATAGATTTCCATATGGATTTTCAATGAAATACAAATATGAGTATAAATGTCTATGAAACATTAATGTGTTGTGATTTGATTTTCGTTTAAATATATTGATTATTGTTTAACACCGCGACATATGCGCAATGATCCAAAATTAGTTATATGTCAAATGTTGCTACGAGGTTAATGTAAACTGAACGGTTCGTGAATCCAGAATTTTAAATAAGTACGTTCTCGTTTAATGTATCTATTTTCGCCAGTTTTAAAAGCTTGGTTACAGCATATCGCGTTACTGTGCAGTGTTACTGAACAATTAGAACAGGAAGCAGACACAAAGGGGGGGGGGTAGGCAAAAATGAACGATATGTGTATATGCAATGTCACCAAAATATGTCAGACTACATTTAACATTTATTTTCAGGAACACAAAGCATTTTATTTTTTGCCTAATGGTCGGTTTTTAAACATACATTTAAACACAAACCAAACATACATTGTTAAATCATGAAGATTTAACTGAAAATGAAGTTAATTTGTTATGTTTTTTATCTTTATGTCCTTATAAAACTGTTTCGTTACTTTATGGATTAAACGTATCATTTGATTCCTTGTTATATCAAGTCCTAATTCATTGAACACAAAATTTACAGCAATAAAGTGTCTTAAATTTAAAAGAAGCATGACCCTCACACGCGCATCATAATTAACTTTTTTTCTTGGGGATAAATAACTTACTTAAGTGGTTTAAATTACATCGAAGAATTTTAAGTACAATTTTTGTCGGGATTGGAGCATTTTTATTCCAAAAGTTTTAAAAACTATAGGAAAAAGATACATAGACTCCTCGGATAATACGCCAGACTGTACTAAATACGAGACAAAAATGCACTTAAGCTGTTACCGAGCCGGAGGGCACCGCATGAATGTTAACCTTCGAGAAAAGATCAATTTTTATCCCAAACACTTACACAATAATAATAAAAAGAAGCAAATAAAACTTATTGTCAAAAGTTTAATACAAAATCATGAAAACCTTATGCGCTCTTATTTCAACAGAAATGTTAAAAACGCTTAATAAATGTTTTAATTAAAGTGTACATAAATCAATTAAAAAGTCATATTTTACTAGGGTGTTTCAACCAACGATTATAAATGCGCAGGAGTATGACACCGACTTTAGATCGTTTAATGTTTCCGCACAGATGGGAAAAATATGTGTATAAACTGTAATGTTTATTGCCACATTTTATTACGTCTGGAGGTATAAACTGCCTGCAGATATGTTAGAGGTGAGACCACGAGGTCACGTGTATGCATACACATTGCGTAATACAGTTACACAGGCAAACACTCAACTGCAGGGTTATAGATAGCGGAGGTGCACAAGGGGGGGAAGTTTAAAACATTAAAAATGACATGTACATCTATGTTTTTCTCAAAGGTTTAGAAAAAACATGTAATTTGAAAACGATACTTGTTTCTAATGAAGGACTTTCAGCACTGGCAGGATGTATTTTTATATTTTTATATTTTGTATCATGAGATTTCATTGCATAAACATATTTGTAAACATGTTAACCTAACCTGTACATTACCGTGGTTTTTTTTAATGTAATGTGTTTAAACTACACCAGGTGTTTAAATTTAAACAGGTTTATTTTATTCAACGGGATTGAAACAGAATATGATGTTTTCTAAATCAAGTTAAAGGAGGTTAATATAAAATGTTTTAAATGGAGTTGTATGTATACTTAAATACAAAAATTATGAAAATTATCATTGTTATGATGATAATGATTCTGGTAGTTATGGTGATTATAAAAATACGAATTATAACAATAATTATCATCACAATTATTGGACTAATTGTTTTGTTAATGCAAATTATCATAATTAAAATATTTGACAGGACGGAATGGTAGATACAAAATTAGTTCACATTAAATATATCATTTTAACTTTTTAAGATATTATAAAATTTTAGTTTATCATTACAAATTAAGTTTAAATTATATGAACACATACTGCTCTTTAATTAAAACACTTCACAAAGGATATAATATGATTTTTTTCCAAATTTTAAGCTTAAAAAATTATGAAAAGAAAGTAAAATATAAAACAACGAAAACTGACTGCAATGGTAGAAAAGTGCTATACAGAAATATTGATGAAGATATTTTCTTTTTTCCGATTTTCATTTTTCTTTCCAGAGGCGTTAGATGTCAGACAGTGGGAAAAGCACCCCTCTTGTAGCTAATCTTTTTCCCCCAGTCAAAACATTGTATTTACCCCTCAACTTGTATATGTTTGTCTGTCTAAATCATTTAGTGCAATGACATTTATCACCTGGATCCAGAAATGTGCATTGCTTATCTCAACCCTACTTGTAGGGAACACGCCGAGCTGATAAGTATGCTAGACATGCCGTGCTAAAATAATTTGCTGGAAATCAGTCCGCTATCTATAAGTGAAAAATAAACGAAATAAAAAAAGCCTGAAAAATTCCAATTGAAAAGGTTATAAATTATGAATTTAACAACTTCCCTATAAAAAGGTTTCGGAATATTTATCGTTATAATATGAATTATCTTCTCAGAAATACGACCACAAGCTTTGCTCATTTTCCACCCTCCAATCATGTGATTTAATGTTCGATCAGCTATGCCACAATTCAACTGAAGTTTGGTTCATTTGATACCACTTAATCGGTGTAATTAATTAATTGAATTGATCAATATTTACTCTAGACGTTTCATGTTAAATGTGAGTGAGAGAAGGACTGCATTGAGTACATTAAAATTGAGCTCAGACATTTATATTTGTTTTTGTTTAAAGCCTGAAAGGACTTGAACATTTTAACTCTACCAATGGTCAAACTTCATGAGACTCAGACCTGACAAAAAGGCAAGGTTGGCATTGCTTCCTTTACGCCATGAACAAACATAAGTACATCTCGGTTTCTTTCTCTCTCGCAATTCAACACAATGTTTGAAAACACTGCATGACGAAAGTAATACAAATAACACTATTGTTTCTTATATTTTGTAACTTACTGGTATCGTAAAACAATGGTGTATTGAGAAGGGCACTTAAACTGCAAGTCCTTCAACTGATATTTTATCTAAAAGGCACTTTAAGCATGACCATAAGTTTGAAAAAGTAATTCTCGTTTGGCTTCATTGCAACATGTGAAGAGGTTATGTTTCCGTTAATCTCTCTTTATTTACGTAGCTAAACTGCATCATTTTATGCATGAAAATTGCATAAAAATTTCAAGACTGTATCTCAATTTGAAGCGGAATAGCTTACGGGGTTCCGACGATAAACTATAAATCGATGTCCCACTGTTCGTGTCTCTCCAAACAAGTTTAGGATAAACGCTATAAGCTGTGTTGTTTTAAACATTGCTGTACTTAGTATAGGTTAAAAATCTACATGTCACTTGGCTTTTGTTTTGTGACATATTATTTGAAATATGACAAAGTTAACAATATTTAGATGAGTTGTTAAAAAATCATTTTTCTGCCTTTAAATAATATGAGTAAATATATTAATGATTTAGTGTTATATGCTTTGCGTTTGATTAATATATACATTAATACTCTTTTTTCCGCTTGATAAATTGAATAATCATTAAATTGATTTAGTAATTGATTAATTAATTAATGATATTACCAAGATAATAGATTAAGAACTATGTTATAGAATTATTTGAATGGTTTGTTTCTGGTAAATTAAATTTTTTATGATCATATTGCAAGATTTTGTGTTATATTAAAGTAATGGGAGAAAATTACATAAAACTAATGGAGACAATTATTGTACATAATCAAATTGTTAGAAATATTGTTTCAGTATCTTCTGAGAAGCATTGTACTTGTGGGTCTTCGTTTGATGAAACCAAAACACTGATGGCATTTCACAAGAAACTAGAGTTTTTCCAAGTTCCATAAAGTTAAATCAACAATGTATGTCTATTAACATAAGACGATTTTCATTACCCGTTTGATTGAGATCTAACCAAAAGAAATAACATTGTTATACCCTCCCTATAAAGGAACTACATTGATTAAATTATTCAAGTCACGAACGAACCGAACCCTAGGGTAGCACCGCCAATATCCCGAAACTTAGACATCAATTCATTTTTCAATATTCAACATTTGATTTACACTCATTATGCAATATCATCCACTTTAATTTCTCGCTCAAGTAAAGTTTAAACAATACCGTGTCGGTTGTTCTTTTTATCCTGACACTTAAAGGTATTCATCGTTGACAATAAAGGGATCGGTCGCAAGGACATAAAGCGGTGATACCCGATATACACCGACCACTTATAGACACAATCCAGAGGCATTAGGTAAAGTATAATATTACTAGACACAATAGCATGTACATGAATTCGTGTCTTGTATTACAATTGGTTGATACACCGCCACTAAAATTAAGTTATGTATAGAGTATACATATTTCTTTTATTTTTCAAATCTTACGGAATTTTACATCTACATAACGATCATAGCAAAACGAAAATAGTATTTCCATTTTATAAGATTTTCTTAAGTAGACATGTCTAACAAGAAAACGATGATGGCAGACAATATTCCTAATTTATTTATCACGGTTTCATTTCCGATCATGGGGCTGTAAAAATATGCTTAACAAGATATGCATTAAATAAATATAAAAGGATGGGTTGTATTTAGTTTGTGTCATCTTTTAAGGAAAATGGACTTAAAAGAGTATTTGAAGCAATATATATTAAAAAGTATTTGTTGGAACATATGTTAAAATGTTATTTCTGTATGTCAATACATTTATTTCATTCTATTTCATACTTAAAATGGTTTTGATTTAATTTTACTAAAGAGCAATCAAAACGTGAAAATATATAAAACAAAAATCAACTTTCATTTAAAATTGACGAGGGTACCGTTTACATATCATAACTCTTTTCATTTGTTGTACTGTTAAGTTCTTCTCAGTCAATAAATAAAAATGACAGAAAAGCGTTATACCAATTTATTTGATCGTGGATTTGAATGAATCGTAATACAAATATCTTGAGGAAATAAAATACACGTCTAGTAGAAGAAGGATAGAAAAAAGCATTTTTAAAGACAAATGAGACAAATATATGCTTACATATATGAGCGCGCCACGACAAAACCAGCATAATGGGTTTGCGACCAGCATGGATCCAGACCAGCCTGCGCATCCGCGCAATCTGATCAATATCCATGCTGTTCGCTACCAGTTTCTCTACTTGTAAAAGGGTTGGTAAGCGAACAGCATGGATCCTGACCAGACTGCGCGGATGCGCAGGCTGGTCTGGATCCATGCTGATCGCAAACACATTATGTTGGTTTTGTCGTGACACGGCTCATATATCTATTTAGAAAGTTTGATAGGCTCACAACTAAGCATTAATTCTAAAGAATATTTTGAATATTTTGAATGAAATTAATACCTTTTTGCTGACATTGTTTAATATTAAATTTAAAAATACATTAATTGTCATCATTTATGACCTTTATGTTAGTCTTAAGTGAAAGTTTTATGATAAATTATCTGCTATTTTTCTTATTAATAATTAATAATAATTAATTTCTATGTTTCATTTCAATCTAACAAGATGTTCGAATATTATATTATCAAAATAAAAATGCGAAGTGGACATATTGGATTTTACAATTATCATAGACTTATCATGTCATAGAGGCATACATTTGATAAGATTTTGTTAAATAGACATGTTTAACAAGAAATAGATGATGACCGACAATATTCCTAATATTCCTGCTAAAAACTGGAATGGACTCTACTATCTTTGAATCTGGACAAAACCGTTCATAACTTTAAAGGATCTTTTTCTAAAATAATACTGACGTAGCAGTGAAGTGTGAAGACCCTGATCAGACGACATTTTGCAAATGACGAAAAACGACAAAAATACTGTTTGAAAGAGTTATTTTTAAATTAGAAATATGCATAAATGTGCAACATTATAATACTTTATGATTGTTTGATATTGAAAACAAGCAATGATTTGTGATACAAGTCTGTCCGAATTATGTTTAATACATAATTGTACAATAAAATGTCCAGTGTAGACAAAATATGTATACAGTGTTCAAGTCTCTTTATATTCCAGGGCATACAAAAGCTATTTGATAGGGTTTCATGACATTCAATTTTAAAATCAGTACCAAACAGTTGTACAACAAATCATTAAAATGTCGAAACATGTGTTCCCTAGAAAAACCCACTTACTTAAATTAATTGACAAATGAACACGTAATTTGTTCTCAGTTTTATTTCTAAAAGAGTGCACATCGAATCAAATTCGTCTTGCCGCTTTACTATGAGCTATTAAAAAAAGATACCCCGCATAGGGCGGTTGAAATTTTATATATCAAATCATCATCATCGTGTTTGCACGGTTTGACAATGTAGTCATCCGAGGACCTATTTAGATATTTCGTCTGAGCTCAAGTGTACCGTCAACCAATTCAGACTATACTGTTTCACACTCTGATAAAATTGCACATTCGAAATTACTTAACCGAAAACTTTTTTTTCTCTACCACCCCCTTGCACCGCCTCTACAATTCAATCCCAATTAAGTAATTAACCGTGCGCCCCTGTACTATATAGCGAAATGCGGTACAGTTCGAAATGAAATAAAACGTCTATTTCCCCTTTAAACACATCTGTTTTTGTGACCTTAATCAAATAATAATTTAACAAAAAGACCTCTCATCCCCTCGCTTACAGATATGGATTCGTATTGAAAGATTCACCTGGTTAATTTGTAATTTTCAAATATTGACTCTAAACAGCTAATTTTCAACCTAATCTTAACACGCTCGATTGGTTTTATGTCTAAATTACTAAATGAATTGGTAATAATAACTAATAGCTGTCTATACATTAGTTTGAAGCAATGTGTTGTGTGGTTTTTTTTTCAGAGCCGGGGACAATAACTTGCCATTTTAACAGCACTAGTTTTAATTAATTGACTCGATGCATTATGGCTGTAACTTTCTATTGTAGAGTAATTCGCGATGAAGCTGTAAACCTTAGGCATTGCATATCAGCAATTAGGGCATATTCGCAATTACGAGAATGGCAACAAAAAGTTATGTGAAATTATTTGAAACGAATGTTGGTTAAAACAGGCTAATTAAGAGTAATTCTAAAACAAATCGTGTTTCTTTTCAACTTTGATCTTTCATGGATTAATGCATTATTATAGGAAACTATTGTATAATGTAACAATTTATATAGATATCTAGTTATGAAAAATGTCCCTTATTAACAAGTGATATAATCTAGATTATAACTTCTTTAATTAATGTATAGCATTTTTATATGCAATATCAAGAAAAGGTTCCAAATGAAAATTAATATACAAAAAAAACTTATTTTTATGAATAAAAGGAATTGGTGTAATAACTGTACATGTTTAAATATTGTAATGTAGGAAATAATGATGAAATGGGACGTTTAATTACGTTACTTTTTTTAATTGGGCACACCACAAACTATGACAGTTTCAAAAGAGTAATACAAAACATCCACAACAAGTTAATCATTTTTACAGAAATGCATATCGTTTTCGGAGAACAAACGAAACAAGTAAAGAACTTACTGTATGCATTTGAAAGCCGCTGCGCCGGTTCTGGCTTGCGATCTATAAAATAGAATAAGAATGGAGCGTAAAAAAAGATTACTTTTAAGACCCACTTCTTTAAAAATATAACATTCGGTAATTAAGTCAACGTTACTTTTTTCTCCATTTAAATAAACCTGGGGTATAGAAGAGGACTGTAATTAGGCAATTTATATGCCATTTCGATATCATGTTAAGGAAACTCTGTATACAATATTTTGATTTTGATTTTAAGTCTTTCAAGTCGACTGGCAATCAGTTAAACCATTATCACATGTTTCCCCACCCCATATTTTCAAAAAATTAAACTTTAAAGCGAATTGAGATAAAGGTTGGTAGCATTCCAAAGCAAGGAGATAATATTTATCCCTTTGTTTTAGGCATAATATATTTAGTCAACTGTTACAAACTGGTCTAGCGAGTTCATATGCCAAATATGTCTCCAATTTTATCTTTAATTGCCTTTATGTGCAAAGTTTTGAACGGTTTTGTTAAAAGACTTTGTTTTAATGTCTTCCAAGAAGAACAAGATACCTTTTTAAAGAATTTTTAAAAAATAAACTTATCTAGATGGCCGTCCATTTAAATTGAAACATAGTATTGTTAAAGTTTACCTTTATTATGTTATACTAACGACTGGAGAAAAAAAGAACACCTTTAATTACAAAAGTAAACAGTTTTATTTTACTACATACCTTTAGACTGACATCAGGGCTAATAAGGTTTGACTTAGATGAACTTGATATTGTACAATGTATATATCTATAAAAACCAACCGACATTCAACAAGAGACACACTTATTTCGTATTTTAATTTCTAAATTTCAAACCGACAATCAATATAAGAACGTTTGAAAATAATAAAGGACCTTACCTGAGCTGAACAAAACTATAGCCTTAAGACAACTGTACTCTGCCGAGTCCACGTGCAGAATTTTTAATTTTTCCACTTGCTCCTGGAAGATTCGAATGTGGTCCATAAATGCTACAACTCGATCGGCCGCCATTGGTGACGCGTGCAATCCTGCCGCGGCCAGTAAAGGTGCCACATGCAGTGGCATTGAGCATTGGGCCGCATTTAGAACAAATAATTCACTCCAACTTAAACGAAGTAAAGCTACCTGGTCCGTTATTTGTAATTCTGGAAAAAAGGGTATGTTTCTAGCCCATTCGACGGCACTAAAAAGGAGTCTTGCTGCTAATTCACATATGTTTTCGATTCCCATAATATTGTTTGGCTGCATACACTGTCCGTAACGGGATGTTGGGTAGGGCTCTGCCCTCAGGAGCATGGATATAAAACTTGAAAGATAGGTATGCCCCGTCAGTGGGTCTCCATTTGTAAAGGCCATCTGACCAGCAAAGGGGTGTTGAGTGGGCGGGACCCTTCCTCTTTGCACAGCTGAAAAGTAAACATATATTAATTATATATTGTAAAACGTTTTATCAACAATAGTGACAATTTATTTTGCAATATAGATCTAAACTTTAATTCATTTGACAGGATTTCCAGTTGGTAATTGACGTCTCTCAATCAATCTATCAACCGTGTCTCTAATAAAATGGTAATTCAGTTTTTATAGAGATTTTTTATTAACTAAAATAGATAAAAGTGAAACCTTAAAGAATGAAGAGAAACGGCAAAATTGAAAATGTTGCAGGCTTAATTTCTAGATTGACATACCGACAGACACTACACTACTATGTAAATATAAAATTAATAATTCTTTTGCTTTTAAAGACAGTTTTATACACAATCAAAGTGCAATAAGTATCACTAGATTCTAGAAATGCATACAATAGCTAAAAGGTATTCCCAGAAATGCGAAACTACTTTTGTAACAATGTATCTGTATCGTTTATTTTTTTTTCACTATAAATGTAACAATAGTTCGTCTTAGAATTCGACCGGACTTAAAGAGGATGAAAGTTCATCTTTTATATATCAATTAAGAAACCACTCTCCAATGTCAATACACTTGAAACATCATACAAGTTATACATTAATTGTAAACAAACATGCATGTATTAAAACATATGTACTGTAACGATTTCTATATAAATTTAATAATAATATATTTATAGATATAAAAAGCCTCACATTTATAAGAATATCAAAATGGATTAATACTAACAAAAGGGTATTTAAGAACATTTATTAACATCAATTGTGCTAATTTACATATGATACAGATTGGAATAAGGATGAGTAAAGAGTTCAAAGGGGAATTGAGCCCAGTTAAATTCATTTATTTAACAGTGTTGTTTTCCCTGCTGGCTAAACACAAGAGGAACATAACAAAAAAGTCTTGTGCAAGTTTATAATAGTTCCGATGACATTAAAAGATTGGTTAACTTTTGCCATCGACATAGGGTTCTTTTAATTGTTTAATGTTTCTTGCAGAAAGCATGGTTAAAGTGTTTCACATGAAAAGCGTGGAAAGGCAACGCGCTACAAAACGTGTCAACCTGTAATCACACCGTGCAGCGATTGCATAAACAATAGACATTATACCATGACCTTTCGAATAATGCTTCGACATTTCAGACACTAGACGAAACCTGATATAATCGTCCGTGTACTGTATTTATATGTTGAAAAGATGCAGAGATGTTAATAGATTACATCCAGTTGTTGCGAGATTTGCATTTTGTGTTTAAAACTTTGCTTTTGAGTCCGAACAAGCTGTTACAACTATTCTGCGGTTCTAATGCATTATATCATGTTGAACTAATGGGGGTATTTTTTCACCCTCCCCGGTTTCAGAATTAAAAAAACAGAGCCCCGGATACAATTTATACATATAATTAATAACCTGTAGGTGTTTTATATTGAATGCATTTTATAACATATTGTTCATTGCCCACGTAGCAAATGTTCCTATTTTACTTAATATTTCATCTCGACAAGGAATATATCAGTTCGAGTTTCCATAACTTGTTCATTTATTATAATTTTCGCTTTCATTTCAATATATTGACTTCCTTTTTTACATGTTCTAAAAAATTTAAAACTTTCTTTTTCTACAGATAATAAACTTCAGCTTTTGTTTCCATTGAAATTATCAAATATATTAAAAGCTTCTTTAACAATATCTTAAATTACCAATAATTAATAACGTTTTGGAATAAATTAAAGCGAATTTCTTTGGCAATATCATTGTCAGAAAATCTCATTTAAGTGACATTTTTCCTTGTCTAAAGGGAAGATGTCGATGTTCAAAATTTATATACATTAATTTTCTTTTGGTGGATCAGTGACTTAAAATTACAATATAATTCCACACAGAATAGGCAGGGGGTGTCCCTAAAAAATCTTTTTACACATGTTATATATTCTGACTTTCTTTGATCATTTAAAAAAAATGAAGATGAAAATAAGAGTAGGGATACAATGTTTTAAAAAAGTACTGATTTTCTAAATTTCTTTTGGAAAACCTTGATTTTTTAAAAAAAAAAATACAGTCTTGCAATTGTCAAACTAAACCGTTCAGTAGTGTACATTCTTTATACGGAAAACACCACCAATCAGGTAACTAAAAGCAACGTATTTTACATCAATGTGATGTAAATATGTGATGTAAATATGTGATGTAAATATGTGATGTAAATATCACAGCGAAAGCATCGCTTCTTGTTAACCTTTCTCAGATTTGATAGCAATCAAAACGTCGACAATATAGTTTCATTACAAAATAACAAGAGTTTTTAAAAAGGGAGAAGTAAAACAAGAAAAATCATCACAATAGCTGTCTGTTTCTCTCGTCCCGTAAGAAAACTAACTTGGCAATTTTGATCATGGATAGAATTTATAAGACCATGTACTTTTGCTATTATACACAGATTTCTTTCCGATTTGTCCACATTAAAAGCATAAAACGAGCTCTAATTATTTTTCATGACTACTTAAGCACCAACATGCAGATGCATAGCAATTTGCAAGTTAAAGATAAATCATCTTTCCATAATCATACCATTTTAACTAATAATCTTTATTCCCTGAATTAACATAAATAGAAATTTTCAAAATTGATACTAAAAGTCTGGATTTAAGAGGGAGAGAAAAATAAATCTATTCAAATCACTGCTTTTAGCCGATTCCTTGACATAAAAGATCGGAGGAAACAATTCAATACTTAACTATTTTTTTGTGAATCATCAAAAGTAATATTTATGCACGGTTTTGATTAAGCAATGCAAGAAAGTGGTTTTAACTTCGTTCATTTTTTCCCTTCTTTAATAATCATTTGTACCAATATGCATGTACTTATTATTTTGCATTCTATAGAAAAAAACATCCCCCCACAAAAGAGCTAATCGCGGTCATTGCCTTCAACGGTGACCAGGAGTGTGTCAGACTTAAAGATCATTTTGACATGACCTATGCTCGGGTAATATGTCTAGTCTGCTTATTATTAATGTATAAATCATAAAGCGCACACCATTTTTTTTCCAAAAAAATCATAACAACCCATTTCACAGTGGCTGCAGTATATTACAGGTTTATCGCGCGAAAACTTCTTTCTCCTAAATGGTTTTCAATAAAAGTAACATGCACTTAGTATGCGCTCCACCGATTTTTATTGTACCTGATATTATCGAAATAATAATGCGAATAAAATGGGTAAAATGTCTGCCAGGATCATAAACTTTTGCCGTGTCTTTTCATGACAAAAAAATCACATATACATCCCATTAAGAGAGAACGTTATGCAAACGGGGTGCATTAGAATATCCTAATCTTTCAGACCATCTAAATATTACACCAAAGGGCGCAGATACTATTAAAATTGGAGAAGAAAAAAGATGTACTTCAAAGTATTTTAACAGGTAAATTGCAATTCAAAATATTTACAGGATGATATTTTACATAATGTTTGAAAATGTTAATATAAAAATACCGCCTATTATTAGTAAGACATTTCTAGCTAATTTAAGAAATCCATACTTGTACTAGTTACACTAATAATTGTAATGAAATTTGATCAAACGAGAATTAATGAAGTACTTGATATAAAAGAAAATGATTATTAGAGAAATCACGTAACATATTTATATAACAATTCGAAACCGATTTTTTTTAAAACTGACCCTCTTTAATGACGATCACGATCTTTTTGAGACATCCCAAGTGAACAAAAATATTAAGATATCATAAAAAAGTAAACAAGCCCGACAAACGAACAGGGTACATAAAAGGGAACGTTGGTAAGGAATTAGTGATATTCTAATAGACGGAATTACAGTCCTAATGATTCTCAACTTCAGTATAAAAAGAACAAAAGTTATTACAATTTGCAATAGGGAATAACCTGCAGCGATTCCGCCGTGGAAATGAAGAAGCGTAGAGTCAGTGGACCTACCTTCCCTCCGCATGCCCATTTTCAAACACTTCTTGAACCGACAGTATTGGCACTGATTCCGGTGGTGTTGGTCCATCGGGCAGTTGCGGTTTCCACGACATGTATAGGTTAAATTCCGACGAACCGACCGTTTAAAAAAGCTTTTGCAGCCCTCACAAGTGTATTGTCCATAATGTTTTCCCGAACTTTTATCGTGACAAACAACACATTCTATATGTTGGTTTTTACTGTCCGGTGTTGAGCTTCCATTTTGACTTGACGCCGACGAATCCCCGCCGTTAGATACAGGTTGAGAGACTTGAGTCTGTATCGGAGGGACCGTCGTCGACGGCGTTAATGATGGTGGTTGAGACGTTTGAGACGTCGGTTGCGGCGGCGGTGGTGGCTGCACCGGCGTCGGAGTCGTACCGTTCATATCGACAACTTGGTCGGGATCTCTCCATGAAGTCACGACAGGATTTTGTGAGGCCGTCATCGCCATTTCAATATTAAGTACTCCTCTGTGAGCCTTTTAACTTTTTAATGTACACTATGTTAAAGGTTAAATGAATGTATAACTATTAGATAAAATTCTTAAGTACAGTTGTGTCACTTTTCACATGTCAATTAATTAACCATTTCTATATCGATCGACACTTATCAAATGTACAAAACACTAAAGATGAACACAGTTATATCTATATCCACACATATTGAAAACTTAATACTTATGTCCTGTAGAACGTTTAGTATACGCTCTTTCACCCGTCTGCTTGATAACTGTAATAACCTGCATTCTGTTTGCCCCGGTGTATCTTAACTGCACTGTTCACCGGCGGAATAATCGCATTTAATGCAAAAGGGGAGTAGTGTGGTCACCCTATGCACCCTATCTCTACTGAACTATGACCCAACCATTGAAAGAGTAAAGTTTCTATAGTGACTTTGCCATATATGGTTGACAGTGTCATTTAAGTTCAAGAAGCGTATTTATGAGTGACAAATACAGGCGCTTGGTCGCGGCCTTCCCGTCAGAGGGCATGACTACAAGTGAAACACGCGCCTTCCTATTGGCCATGCTTGCCTTTAACAGTATACTCTCACAGCTTTGGTGCCCGGCAATTGGTATTTGAGAGCATAAAGGGTGAACCTTACGATATTGTAAACCCGCACTGCGAGCAGTGTAAACCAATCGTTAGGCCTAATGTAGGCGGAGCAATAGGCGGGCGTACGTGCTTTATTGATTTGAAGAGATACGCTATCGTCTGCATCAACAGATATTAAAACCCTTTATAAACTATCATAATGTTTTAGATTTATTGTTGCATATTTTTACATTCTTTTTTGACAACATTAATATATCAAGTTACTTTTTGGTTAAATTGGATTCGCCGCTGTTTTGTCTTAAGCCATGTTTACTTAAAACATCGGTTTTTCTCACTCTGCCTATTCTGTAAGTTAATGTCATTCACTCTTGACTTTGTTTTCGTCTATGTTCGTCTTCTTCAGCCTTATCGCTTACAGGTTGCAACCTTTTTGTTGCATGTCGACCTCAGATCACGGAGTTAGCGTCGAAAGGAGCTATCGTCTGCTACTATGCAGATACATCAATCTTGTTTTATGTATGCAGTCAAAATGAAATAAATTTGAAAAGGGGGCTGAAGAAAACCGTCGTATCTAACATTGCGTAATGTATTTACATAGCAGGTTTAAGTGAACACGGTTTTCCACTGCATTTAATGTTAATCTGATATGCAAGTATCCTACATATATAATAGTTAATGGTTTATAACATGACATGTCAGGTATATATCACATAACAGCCGCAGTTTGATCTTAAGGTACACTTAAAATGTGCTTTTATAAACTTCGTCTAAATTATCAAGTCACTATATTACCATAAATAGATTCATTGCAACGCACACAAAATCATTCTGCATGTAGGTTAGCAATTAAGTTTTAAATGCCTTTAAACCTCAAACTTCGCTAGTAAGGTTTTAATCATCGGCTGGTATATACCAACGTTATCCGCGAGACTGGTGTAAAATAGGTGACCTAAACATATGTCCTGACCTCAGTCGACCTACAATGCAGTTTTATCTCGACCTGTACTGCATGTATTTACATAAGGCTATGTAATAACTCGCATATCGTCTGCTCCAAGGCGGCCTAATCATACCGTAGTTATTCTAAATATTTAACGCTGCACCGGCAGGGAAATTAAGAAAAATGTAAGGTACGTATCCTTCAATTGGCTATATTTGATGTTTTAATTCAATAAATAGAGTTAGATCTAAGGTAAATTTACATTTCAAACGTTTTGCTGAGGCTTCAAAATTATAATATAATGTAGATCTATACACACTTCTACGGGCTTCGAGGCTATAAAACGCACAGTCCCAAATCTAAGGACATTCATTGGTGAGTGCACAGTCCATGCTTTGCTGGTTTATGATTAATACGTGATTTCTAAGTAAGAACTTAGAGAATTTTTTTATAACCAACCATTCTTGTTAGCGGCATATTGTTTTTGCTCTAGCTTTATTAGATAGTTTCTGACAATTTCTGTTTGATACTCTCAAGTGAAGTTCAACAAAGGTTTCTGTTTGGTCAAGTACTGCTAAAAAGGCAGATGTGATGTTGACATAGAGGGCCATCTTTGTTGTCGCATAAACAATTGTGTCTGTGGCCGATGTCTGATAACTGATAAACAAAATGCATGAAAATTAGAATATTTATGTATTGTAATGAAGTAAGTATAAGTATGTAGTGTAAATTATACATATTTTCAACCACGATAAGACGACGGACATCAAGTGGCCACAAAAACTTCTGGACAACGTTTTGTACGGAGTAGTTGTATAACAATGTCAAATACATAGTTACATACCCTCCCCACCACATTTCTGATTGTATATACACAAATTCAGTACAAGGGTAAATACTAATATTTTGTATAATTATACACAACATAAGTGTTATTTCTTCGTACTGTACTAATATATACATGTATATATGTTTGGTCAATAAGTGTGCTTTTGTTTTGGTTTTACGGCGCTCGAACACAATTTAGATCATATTGCGCCGAATTAGGAAAGATAGTTTCACTATGATGCGAACTTTAAAGCAAAGATGGTTGTTGAAAATAGTGAAAGATGTCTTTAAGAAATTTAGACAATGTCATAGTGTCATATACTAGATTGAGAGACAAACGCCTTCAGATAAACACTAGCTCATACTGTCTCTTTATAAATCCTCTTCAGATTACATTAACGATATTCCCAATACTGGTTACAATGGTGATACATGTTTAGTAATACATTTACATGTAAATTGTATTTTGGAACATTTATAATTTGGAAACAACTGAAGTCACGTTTTAGCAGATCTGATCAACACTAGCCATGCAATATATTGGACAGCGATACATTGAAATAAGTTATACAAAAGTTAAATAAATGAGTAATACAAAGCCATCTATAGCTTTTCAATGGAAAAAATGAAATAAAAAATTGAAGAAATAATAAAAACAAACAAACAACAACAACAACAACAACAACAAAAATATTAAAAACAAACAAACAAAATAAAAAATGTTATCCGACAAACTGTCCTTAGTTTTTCTCTTAAAATCTTATTAAAAAATAGGAAGTGTCGTTCGTTTAATTAAAGCACATGAAAGACAATGTATTTTTCAAATGAGCTATTTTGACCAACCTTCGCCAACTGTTTTTAATTGTTTGTATTCGACAAAAATGTTCAAATGAACAATGAAAAGACAACGCTGGTATCCCGAAAGTATTTTTTCGCGTCTGTCCAAATGTCCAAATAGACCATAACAAGACGATGCTGGTGTCCCAAAAATATCTTCGAGTGTTGAAATAATAAGTTAATTTATATAAATAGCAATTATTTAATATGCTATGTTATTAAAACTTTCATGCAATACGAAATGGTATGGTGTTTCTCACGAATGGTTTGTTTTTTAACAATAGCTAACATTATAGTAATTGATAGGCTGAAACAGCAGTGTGTGTTTTTCAAACAATTGGACGTTTGAATTCATGAAAGTTGATTTTATTATTATTATTATTATTATTATTATCATTGTTTTATTATTATTATTATTATTACTATTATTATTAGTATTATTATTACTATTATTATTATTATTATTATTATTATTATAATTATTATTATTATTATTATTATTATTATTATTATTATTATTATTATTATTATTATTATTATTACTATTATCATTATTATTATAAGTTCGTATCAAATTACTGGCAAATTCACTTTTTTTACTGACATATTGATATAACATCACTTTATTTAAGTTCTCTTTTAAGGCTTCTTCATATAATGAGCATATCATTGTTTTGCCATGGGATAAACTCCATTGCAATTTTTAATAGCATTTTGATTCGTGCTTTATTATTACCACAGAAGACATCTTTCTTGTTGCTTTTATATAATCAATGCTTTCTGAACATGTTGTTGTTGTTGTTTTTAATTTTCGAAGCTTTTCGGAACGCTTCTGTTTTATCGTAACGTGTTTCATAGCTTTCACCTTATGAAACAACCTACAAAAAACAATGACAAATGGTCGAAAAAAGAACAGTATGTATATTGTCGGGGTCTATATTTACTGACTTAAAATTTCGTTTTAAAGGAACTGAACTGAGGTCCAAATGCCTAAAATTTGAATTTTTACATAGATCAACTGGGACATTAAAAGCAAAAAGACATGCAAATGATAATTAAGAAATAAACTAAGAATAAATTGATAATTGAATTTTTGTGCTGTTCTTAGTCCAATTTGAGTGAAAAGCCTTGTAACGCCGTTTAGATTTAAAGTCATTTGTTCACAATTAGAATAACTATGCTTGAAAAACTGAGTGAGCGAATGATTTGAAATTTTGCCCACAAGTTATTGATCTCTACCTGCATCAAATGTGGAGTCCATTTAACAATGTTGACCTTTTCTAAACTCAATTTAAAGGGTCATGTTTGCAAATGCTAGCACCGGGGAGAGGATTGATGTTGATGTCGTACTTGTAAAACATACTGTTATATTGAAAAAAAATACTAATAATTCATAACAGAATATGAGAAACGCTAGTTTAACTTAGTCGCTTGCTTGGATCTCGCGAAAAAATGTGACAGTATTTAGTAATACATCGGCAGGCAGGCTTTTACAGATCCCTTGTTTCTCAAAGAAATAGAAAACACAAAATAAATGAACTACATTCTTATCAAACTGTTTCAGATTTACGCTAGATATAAAACCTTTGTTTTCAGTACAACCATAAAAATGTGTTACGCCATAAATGTTAATCCAATACAATTTCAATGAGATATTTTTTTGTATTTCTTTACTACCAATTTAGATAAATTGTAAAGTAAAGAAATGTTACCATTGTAACACATGCACGATAAGAGATCAATTTATTCACCGGCGGAGTTTGAAAACATAAGCCTTTCGGTAGTGATGTCGCAACAGCTTGAAGCTATAATGCAGCATTAGCAGATACCGTGTAAATCTATTCATTATACTTTTTTCAAAAATTGTTTCAAAACGGAATAAAGGCCGACAGAATTCAATAGCCTCAACGGCTATCAAGCAGTATTTATGCTATGTGTGATTTGGTCGTGTGTTTGCGTTAATGAAACAGTGGTAATCATGGCGTGAGCGGTGTTTTCCAACTAGGTGAACACCAAAGATAAGAAAAACATCGCCGACATATGTGCAAGAACGGACAAATGTTATGAAGTGTATTCACTCTACACTTTTCATTATGCAAAACAGCAACATCGCCAACTTTGAAAACAAATTGTACTCCATTTGCTCCCGAACCTTTTCCATAATTTCTTTTGATGTTTTCTGGTTGAACATTTCTTTCCTTTCCCCTTACAAATTGGACAATATTCAATGATTACCCCATGTTCATTCTCCCCTTACAAATTGGATAATATTCAACGATTACCCTCCTA